TGTATTGCCCATGCTTCTTCTTCTGTGTCTCCTGGTATCTCTGCCCTTCTTCCCAGAGTCCTCTGTGCCAGGAAATCCTTCCTAGCTATTGGTCGTTCAACTTTTTATTAACCCAAATGATGGTGACATATTCACAGTGTACAGAAAGATTATTCCATAACAACTTATGCTTTCTTTCCTATCTACTTGGCCCTTATCAACTTCTCTGGTCCCAAGACCATCTACTTAGAGAGGCTGTCACATCACTGCATTGTGCCTCAGGGTGTATTGGTTCTGCAAAGTCTCCTCAAATAGCCCTAAGCAACCACGATGGCCAATTTGATTCAGACTCCAAGCATCTGCAGTTGTAGCAGCTAGGCTGTAAATCAGCACCAGCTAGGGAAGCTGCTGGCAAAGATTGGATACTCGGTTCTCAGGATTGTTCTCAAGATTTAAACAATCCTGTCTGTGTCATTTCTGCACCTAAGTGGTTGCCATGCTTCATGGTGCAGGGTGGGCACAGTGGGCTTTTCTGCAGACCCCCACGCTGGAGTGGCAGGTTTCAGAAAGGGACATGGATCACATCACAGTCAGGTGAATTAGGCAAGTCAGGACTGGTGCTTCTGAGGGATATGAAGATGCTTGGCTCCACCACAATCGCTGCCACCACCTGGACCTTGTTCCCACAAGAGCCACCCCCCCCCCCACCCAAGCCCATCTACTCCAGCAGCCTCCCAGTGGACAGCCCTTTCCCACAGCATCAGCTGACTCTACAGCCATAAGCTCCACCCACACCAGTTGGAAGAACAGGTGAGTGATTGGTCTCCCAGCTGAACTGCCCCAACCTCCAGGCCCTGGTTACATCCCTGCCCCTCCCCCTCTCATCTCAGTCACAGCAATGCAACTGGGCCCTGTCTCAACTCTGGTGAAAGCCCACTACTCTGGTGCAGACCCCAGCAGCTGGCCAGCAGGTGAGAGACCTGCAGGTGGGCTGCACCACCACCTATACCACCCACTGGTCTGTGTTCACACAAGACCTGCTCCACTGTCCATTCCCCACAGACAGCCCTCTCTGGCAATATCATTTTACACCTGTCAGAATGGCTAAGATCAGAAACACCAATAATAGCTTATGTTGGGGAGGATATGGAGTAAGAGGAACCCTCATCCATTGCTGGTGGGAATGCAAACTTGTACAACCACTTTGGGAATCAGTATGGTGGTTTCTCACAAAATTGGGCGTCAATCTACCTCAGGATTCAGCAATACCGCTCTTGGGCTTATACCCAAAAGATGCTCAATCATACTACAAAGATATATGTTCAACTATGTTCAGAGCAATATTATTTGTAATAGCCAGAACGTGGAAACAACCTAGATGCCCTCAACTGAAGAATGGATAAAGAAATCGTGGCACATTTACACACAAGAGTACTACTAAGCAGTTAAAAAAAATGACATCTTGAAATTTGCATGCAAATGGATGGAGCTAGAAAACACCATCCTGAATGAGGTAACCCAGACTCAAAATGATGAATATGGTATGTACTCACTCATAAATGGATACTCTCTATAAACAAAGGATATTGAGCCTATAGTTCATGATCTAGGAGGAGGCCTCTTGTTCATCCCTGCTACCCAGAACCAAAATAACTACACAGAAACTATATTAATTAAAACACTGCTTGGCTCATTAGCTCTAATTTCTTATTGGCTAACTCTTACATCTTATTTTAACCCATTTCTAGTAATCTGTGCATTACTATGAGGTTGTGGCTTACCAGCAAAGTTTCAGCACTGTCTCCAGTGCAGCTCCATGGCTTCTCTCTGACTCCGCCTCCTTTCTCCCGGCATTCAGCTTAGTTTTCCCCACCTACCTAAGTTCTGCCCTATCAATAGGCCAAGCCAGGTTTCTTTATTCATTAATAGCAATCACAGCATACAGAGGGAAATCTCACATCACCTAGAGAAGCTAAGTAACAAGGTGAACCCTAAGAAAAACATATAGATCCACCTGGAAAGTCAAAATAGACAAGATCATCTGAAAAAATTGGGAACATAGGGGTGGGGGAAAAGGGAGGGTAGAAGGAGAAGAGGAGGCTAGAAGGGGAAAATGAGAACTTGAGGGAATGGGATAGTTGAGATGAAGGAAGGAGAGAGATGAGAGCAAGGAAAGAGATATCTTGATTGAGGGCGCCATTACGGTGTTGCAAGAAACCTGGTTCTCAAAATATTCCCAGGAATTCACAAGGATGACCCCAGCTAACACTCTATAAGCAATTGCAGGAGAAGATGCCTGAACTGGCCTTGCCCCATAGTCAGACTAATGAATATCTTAAATATTGCCATAGAACCTTCATCCAGCAAGGGATGGAAACAGAGGCAGAAACCTGCATCAGAGCACTGGACTGACCTCCCAAAGTCTGTTGAAGAGTGGGAGGAATAAGAATATGAGCAAAGAGGTCAAGGCCTGGTGCAGGAGAATTGTCTGTATTCTGCCAATCATGTTGTAATTAAACGCCGATTGGCCAGGCAGGAAATATAGGTGGGAAAACCAGACAGGAAGTAGAAATGATGTAATGAGAACAGGAGAATTCTGGGAAGGAGGAAGCTGATTCCTCCCACTCTTGCCCAGACCACCGAAGCAGCAGGATGTGATCTGCCCCACTAAAAAAAGGTACTGAGCCACATGGCTAACATAGATCAAAAAAATGGGTTAATCAAGATGTGAGAATTAGCCAGTGAGAGGCTAGAGCTAATGGGCCAATCAGCTTTATAACTTATAGAGACCTATGCGTGATTTTCTTTGGGGCTTGCCGGCTGTGGGGTATTGGGCGGGACAAAAACCCAAACAAGCAGGTGGGCCCCTCCATGTTACAAAGTCCTGCTGTCTGGCTAGATAAGCTGAGGCAGGTGGGGGAAAGGCCCAGGGTTTTACCCAACTATGGAGGGCCTAGAGAGTGGGTGTCCTCCCAGGTGGCTGGTCACTCAACTCTTGGTCCTCAGTATTGTAACAAGCTGTGTTTTGGAGTTCCATTGAGGTTGCAAGAAGATAAATGAGTTTGGGGGCAGGATGGGGCTAGTAGCTTGCAAGGTCTGGTGGATGGGGGTTGGGATCCCAATTCTATGTGTGGCCCACAAGACAGCTAGAGGTTTTCTGTCCAGTCCAGTCCTGCATCCATTAAGACCCAAAGAAATCACACAGAGATCTATATTAGTTATAAAGTGATTGGCCTAGTAGCTCAGACTTCTTGTTAACTCTTCTAACTTACATTAGCCCATTATTCTTGTCTACATTAGCCACATGGCTTGGTACCTTATTGGGTGAGGCAGTCACATCTTGCTTCTTCTGTGGCTGGGTCACGACTGCAGAATGAACTTTCCTTTTCCTAGAATTCTCATTGCCCTTCCTCTACTTCCTGCCTGTTCACCCCACCTATACTTTCTGTCTGGCTACTGGCCAATCTACATTTATTTAAAATATAAGTGACAGGGTACAAAACATTGTCCCACAACACTTTCCCCCCATTAAAAAAAACTATGAATCTAATATCCTTGGTTTAGCTTTTCTCCTGACTATTATCCATAACAACTTGTAACCAACATTCTAAACAAAGGAAAATGTCCATAGTCTATTTTTCTGAGAATGTTGGCATAGTTTTCCAGGCTACTTTCTGCTGGTTGGGGACACTGATAATCTTATGGGCACCTAAAGAAAATTTGGAATTATGATCAAGTCATGACTAGAGTATCTAGTAAGGCTTGATCATCTCAGGCAGCAAGCAGTCTTGAATCTGTTCTGGATGTAGAACTCTGACATCTGGGCCATCTGTTCCTACCAGAGATTTCTCAGGTGGTCTTCCTTAACCAAACCTGATTTTTCTTGACTCGGAAGGAATCCACAGCCTTTCATTTCCTGTGGAAACAAAAGCAAAACCTCTTCTCCAAAGGAACACACCTTTTGACTTCAATTTTGAAGTCAAGGTATTTTCAAAATACCTATTTTGGATTAATTCAGCAGCATTTATAAACAAATATCTTTTAGCAGCTGTTACTCCTTCCACAGCATTCAAACAATTCAAAGAGAACGTAATAACATACAGTATCCAGATTCTCTGTGTGATTTCCATCTTTACGTGGCTTTGTTTTAACCTCTATCTCTTTTGTTTTTAATTTTTGGCTTTTTAAGACAGGGTTCTCTATGTATCTTTGTCCTGGAACTCCCTCTGTTGAACTCACAGAGATCTGCCTGCCTCTGCCTCTCAAGTGCTGGGATTAAAGGTGTGTGCCCCCACACCCAACTACTCTTTTCCTTTAAGGACTTTATCCTTTTTTCTTTTTTTCTCCCAAGCCTACATATATTTTTAAACACATTGTAAAACATTTAAAGGTTTTCTTCATCTGAATCTATCTTTACTGTACATCTCTCTTTTTCTGACCACATGAGTCTTTAATTTGCTAAGCAACATGGCTAGAATTAAAGCCATGGCTTTTACAGCTGAATGTAGCCAATTCCTTAGCTTTCTGAGATTCCAGCCTCATGGTGGAGGTACTGACCAGAGTCATGTTTATCACCACAAATCTATGATGTTTCAAGGTCCCTGCCACCACTAAAAAGCATGAGGTCAGCTTTTCATCCAACACCATTTAAGTGTTTCATGGTAGGACCTCTTAAAAGAGCTGCAAGGTTTTGCAGCTAAAGCTGAGTCAGGAAGCCTCTTAAATGAGATGCACTTGCCTCTAGCAAGCAGAGCAAACCCGAGAAATTGCTGCTACCAAGAACCCAGGCTTAACCCTGTTCAAGCTCTCTCAGGTTTTCTGTGGATGCACTTTGTCCACATGTTAGGCACCATTCTGTTTGCTGAGGTTTCTGTCCTACCTGGTTCCTGCAGTTGTTAAGTCCCAAAGAGATGCACAGAGGTCTGCATTAGTTATAAACTGATTGGCCCACTAGCTTATGCTTCTTATTAACTATTATAACTTATATTAGCCCAGAATTCTCCTGTTCTCATCACCCCACCTCTACTTCTTGCCTGGCTACTGGCCAATCAGCATTTTATTAAACAAGTACAAGAAACAAATGTTTACCTGGTAAAACCATTGTCCCACAGCAATAGATAATGCATCTCTTAATGCTCATCAGAGAAGTTTCTGTTTGCTGTAGATGTGATTAATACAAACATCCACAACTGGCCAAGGCACAGAGCAAAAAGGACAGAAAAGGGCAGAATTCTCATCCTCAAATGGAACATGCATATCACACCCTGTCCTCTTAAGGCTCAGGGATTATTGTGGAAGAGTGTTGTGTAATGTTTTACTTCACTTTTCACAAGTTAAAAGGATTATGGTATTTTTCTCTCTCTCTCCTGGTCTTAGGACCCTTCCCCTTCCTCAATTACTGAGGCTACAAGTTTCAGTTGAGTTCATACACTTTAACTTCTGTTCCCAGTTTGTATATGTCTTACCAGGTTTCCATTTGGCTGACAAACACACTCAAGCATCAATTTCTGATAACCTGCTCCAAATAACCATGAGTCCTGGACTTGCTAAAACCTGATATGGATCAATCCAGACAATGTGATTGCTGTCTTTTCAGCTTGTCAATAAACCATATACTTCTAAATTTCCTCATTGCTTCTGGCCAATATTCTAGCCTTCCAGGGCCCTGAGAATATTCTTTTTTTTTTTTTTTTAAGTTTGTGGGTTTTTTTTTTTTTTTTAGTTTTTGGAGACAGGGTTTCTCTGTAGCTTTTGGAGCCTTGTAGCCTGTTCTGGAACTAGCTCTTGTACATCAGGCTGGCCTCAAACTCACAGAGATCTTCCTGCCTCTGCCTCCCAAGTGCAGGGATTAAAGGCACGCGCCACCACCACCCAGTCAACAGAAAGTAATTACTGGTGTAGGGTATGAAGGTCAGCCAAAAAAACACACCCTAACCCTGAAACCAGAGCCAAAGAAACACACCCTGATCCAATTAACTGGCCCTGAAATCAGAGCCAAAAGGTTAAAAGGGACCAATGAAACCGGAGCCAAAAGATTAAAAAGGGCCAGCAAGAGAAACACACTTTAGCCATGAAACCAGAGTCAAAGAAACATACTCTGCCCTGACCAACTCAGCAAAAACAAAAACAAACAAAAAAAACCCAACCAATCCCTGAGCACAAAACCATCCAATCTCTGAGGTTGTCAAGCTTAGGGACTGAAATCTGACCAATTCCCACCTTGAAAAACTCCACCCCTAAGAAGCCCTAAATAAATCCTATACCTGTTCAGTTGGGAGTTGCCCTTTTTCACCCCAGCAGAGGCAGCCAAACTTCTGGATTTCGCCCTCCCAATAAATCTTCTGAAAGAGGTTTAGGGGATGACCTTCTTTCTCTGGAGTAGAGTTTCGCCAGAGCACGAGCAGAACTGCTCCATTCCTTGGGGAAACCATCAGAACAATGCTGTAGGTGTATCCTGGCAGGATACCTTTCCCTTCCGAGTTATAGATATTGCTTCTGACAACCAGGATACCTTTCCCTTCCGAGTTATAGATATTGCTTCTGACAACCAGGATACATTTCTCTTCAGAGTTATAACACTTAAGAGGTATAGCCTGGCTTTTGATGGCCAGGATATCTTTCCCTTCAGAGCTGTAACACTTACAGGTATAGCCTGGCTTCTAACAGCCAGGATACTTTTCCCCTTTGAGCTGTAGGTATAGCCTGGCTTTTGATGGCCAGGGTAATCCCTCCAGAGCTGTAACAGACAACTGGTACCTTATGAAGTGGGTTACAGGTCCTGGTATAAATGACAATGAGAACCCACTTACACTCTGAAGTTTTTGTTAGTATATGTTTTTATTGTGGTCTTTCTCATTTTTGAGATAGGGTCTTACCTTGTAGCTTAGACTAGCCTTCAAGTCATGGTGACCCTCCTGCCTTTGCCCTTCCAAAAGGCTGGAATTAGAGAAATGAAATGCCATGCCCCATCCTGTAGTATATGTCTCTCAACAGAAGTACTGGGTATGCAAAAATATGTTAGATTCAACCAAGAATGCAAACACACCCACAGGTCTGTTAATGTTTGCAACAAATAACTGACAGAGAAAAGACTCGCTATCAGGCATATTATATGGTTTCATCATTCAATTAGTTGGCACTATATCTACCCCAACAGTATTCTCATTAACATGGTTAACAAAGTCGTCCTTGTGAAGAGCTTGGTAATAGTGTTCCACTGAATTTCTTCATGAGAAAGTTTCTATTTTATCAAATGGATGCAGTTTCTTCTTGGCATGTAGAAAGGTCCTTCTCTGGGTCCTTTTCTGAGCAGTAATGTGTAGCACTGACACATGGGCATTTTTAATTACAATAATATACATAGCATCCCATTTCACAGAAACAACGATTACAGTAAGACAAGACCTCAGTGAGTTTTTTCCTCATAATGTTTAAGTGTGAATACTCTGATGCACACTGAGCACCGACTTCTGAACAAAGCCTTTTCCACAGACTACACACTTATAAGGTTTATCTCCACTGTGTGTTGTTTGGTGTTTATTTAAGTTGGACCTATCAGTGAAGGCCTTCCCACATTCAGAACACACGTAAGGCTTCTCTCCTGTATGAATTCGCTGATGTACTTGAAGCTGTGATTTCTTAGTGAATGATTTCCCACAGTCACTACACTCATAAGGCTTCTCTCCAGTATGAATTCTATGATGTGTAATCAACTCTGACTTCTGTCTGAAGGTCTTCCCACATTCCGAACAGACGTAGGGTTTTTCCCCTGTGTGAGTTTTTTGGTGCTTACTGAGATTTGACCTGCCACTAAAGGCTTTCCCACACTCGGCACACACATACGGTTTCTCACCTGTGTGGATTGGCTGGTGCACCAGGAGCTGAGATTTAGAAGTAAAGGACTTCCCGCAGTCATTGCATTCATAAGGTTTCTCTCCGGTATGAATTCTTTGATGAGTGATGAAGTTTGACTTTCGGATGAAAGCTCGCCCACATTCAGTACACACGTAGGGTTTCTCCCCTGTATGAATTTTCTGATGCACAATCAGTATTGATTTCTGATTGAAGGCTTTTCCACATTCGTGGCATTCATACTGTCTCTCTCCAGTATGAATTTTCTGGTGTATATTGAGGTGTGATTTCTGGGTAAAGGCTTTCCCACAGGTACTGCAGCCATATGGTTTCTCTCCGGTATGAATTCTCTGGTGTATCATCAGGTCTGACCTCTGAGTGAAGGCCTTTCCACACTTTGAACATACATAGGCTTTTTCTCCTGTATGTGTTTTCTGATGTGTGATGAGATTTGACCTGTTAGTGAATGCCTTCCCACATTTACTGCACACGTAAGGTTTTTCTCCTGTGTGAATTCGTTTGTGTACATGGAGTTGGGACCTGGACGTAAAGAGTTTTCCACAGTGACCACATTTATAAGGTTTTTCTCCAGTATGGATTATCTGGTGTGCAACCAAGTGTGCCTTTTGGATAAAAGCCAGCCCACATTTCATGCACACATATGATTTTTCTCCTGTATGGATTCTTTGGTGCACTGTGAGAGCTGACTTCTGGGTGAAGGCTTTTCCACAGTCACTACACTGATAAGGTTTCTCTCCGGTGTGAATTCTCTGGTGAATGATTAATTCTGACTTGTAGGTAAAGGCCTTCCCACATTCCGTGCAGATGGAAGATTTCTCTCTCACTTGAGTTTTTTTATGTGCAATGAGGTTGGAACTACAGCTGAAGATTTCCCCATACTCAGCAGACAGTTGGGGCCTCACTCTTGTGTGAGTTCGCTGGTGGACCTGGAGCTGTGACTTGGAAATGAAGGACCTTCCACAGTTAGTGCACTCATATGGCCTTTCTCCGGTGTGAATTCTGCGGTGTGCAGCCAAGTGTGTCTTCTGGATGAAAGCCTGTCCACACTCGATACATATGTAGGATCTCTCTCCTGTATGGATCTTCTGGTGCATCTTGAGTGTGGACTTCTGTGTGAAGGCTTTGCCACACTCAGTGCATGCATGATGTCTCTCTCCTGTGTGGATTTTCTGATGGATAATGAGGTCAGAGTTGTAGGAGAAGCCTTTCCCACACTCACTGCATTCATAGAGCTTTTCTCCAGTGTGAAACCTCTTATGTCTGAAGAGAGAAGAGACTTGGAAAAAGGACTTTCCACAGTCATTGCATTTATAGGGTTTCTCTCTAGTATGGGTTTTCTGATGTGTAATGAATTCTGGCTTTTGTGAAAATGCCTTCCCACATTCAACACATACATAAAGTTTTTCTCCTGTATGAGATTTCATATGTACTTTGAACTGTGACTTCTGGGTGGAGAGCTTTCCAAATTCAGCACATTCATATGAATTCTCTCCAATATAAATTTTCTGATATTGATAAGGTACTTGTTCATAATTGAGGGCTTTTCCATATTGATTTTGGTCCCATAATTTCTTTCCTGTTATAGTATGCTCAGCATTGGTATAAGATGAATTTTTATCATATTCAGTAATCTTTTTAATTCTCTCTGGCCCGTTATTTTCATTATGACTCTGTAATTCTAAATTATGCTTCAGATCATTCCCAAGTGAGTCACACTGATGGGGTCTTTTGGGGGGCAGAACAATGTATGGGTTCACGTGAATTATTTTTCTAATGACCTTAGATCCACAACGACTCTTTGTATCCAGTGTCTTCTTGATGAAGATAACATCACTTGCCGACTTATTTTCTATTTGCTGACAGGTCCCTTTCTGGCCACCAATTTGCTGCAATTCTTCTGGAATGAAATATGAGAAAGCATCATGTAAAGCTATCTTCTTGCTCAATGTGAAACATGCTATTTTAGTTTGCAGTCCAGCTAGAATCAGCTACAGCTAGCAGAGGCTACATGGCGTGGTGCAAATGGCTCACCCAGGATGAGCACAGAGACACGAAGGGTAATAACTTGATGAAAAAGGTTGTGGTGGACAGGAAACATCCAGGTACACAAAACATCAGTTAGAGGAAATAATTAGATACATTATTACGTACAAGCAGATGTGAACAAAATAAAGCAAAGAACAAGGTAACACAGAGCAAACTGGCATGTCTAAACAGTTAAATATCTCAAATTTATTTTAGACCTCATAACATGGATGATTTTTAAATGTTTCCATCATACAGAGGGAGGAGGATGTGAACAAAAGAGAGAAAAGGATATACAAACTCCATATCGTAAGTCTAAAACAGAAGATTATAATTAAATGCAGGCCTCATCAGTAAAGTACAAAACAGCAGCAATGCCGAGCGGTGGTGGCGCACGCCTTTAATCCCAGCACTCAGGAGGCAGAGGCATGCAGATATCTGTGAGTTTGAGGCCAGCCTGGTCTACAAGAGTTAGTTTCTAGAACAGGCTCCAAAGCTACAGAGAAACCCTGTCTCAAAAAAACAAAAACAAACAAACAGCAGCAACAGAAAAATCAAGTAACCAGGAAGAAAGACTGGGTCAAATGTGGACTCACTCAGGCAGCATTAAGATGAAGCTTGGTAAAGGGTGATTAATAGTGTCAAACACAGCAGACAGATACTCCACAGGTTCAGTGAGAAGGATTCTCAAATCATAAGCTAGAGGAAAGGCAAGGTAAGCTGGGAAGCAATGAGAAATCTCATGTAGTAGCCACAAAAAAAGCAGGAGGAGCTGGGGTGAAGATATGGTTCTAAAGCAGCTCACAGGGAAAGAAGAAAATGGGATGTAGGAGTATAAATGTGTATATCACAAAGTAATTATGAAAGAAAGATTTATAAATACCTGTGTATATAAATAAAGACTAAGGCCATGGAAAGGTGTGAGAAAAAGGTCAATTAAAAAATAAAAGTAAGAAAAAAAAGAATGAGGTAGATTAGCACACACTCTAGAATCTATAAAGTTAAGAAGACAGAAATAACAAAGTTCACCCGAGCAGAAGGCATTCAGTTACTTGAGAAGTCAATGTTAAGGGTCCTCAATCAAGCATACAAGAAATGTAGAACTTCCCCCAGAAGTCATCTTAGCAGCATTTCTAAGGTGTCAATCCTGTTCTAAGGTGCAATCCTGCTCCAGATGGCTGAGGTTTTCTCTCTTGTCTTTTCTGACGATCCCTTGCCTCCCACCTAAACAGGTTACATTCACTCACCTACATAGGGCTGACATGGGCTCTCATTTTGCAATGCCCATGTCTCCTTTCCTTGCTCCAGCATGAAAACCTCTGTCTTGGGACCCTGATATCCTGTTCACAGAAAACAATAAAGGACTGGGCCCAACTATTATATTTCAGAGTCCGATCTGTTGGGTCTTAGTGTGTAACGAGAGTTTGTTCTTAAGGAGCCACAGATCTCTATGAACAGAGCCATCCTGAGAGTGCACAAAGGAGAAAGAGAACCCTGGTTGCAGGGCTGGGGAGATGCTCAGCCATTGTGGGCACTTGTTCTTGACTTGGTTCACAGCAGCCACACTGGGCACTCACAACTGTAGTGAATGTGATGCCCTCTTCTGGCCTCCAAAGGTACTGCATTTTCATGCGTGTGAAATAAAGAAAATAAAGAAACAAATCTTAAAAGAATCCTAGTCAAACACAGACAAAAACCATGACATATTGAAGATACCTCACAGCGGCGTCCAATTGAGAATAGAATACACTCAGTGAGACTTCGTTACAGACAAGGGCACTCTGCTTACCTACTGAGCGCAGGTGACTGTAGGTCTCCTGCATCACATCCCGGTAGAGGCTTCTTTGATGGGGGTCGAGGTGCTGCCATTCATCTCTGCTGAAATCTATAGACACATCCATGAAGGACACTGATCTCTGTAAGAGCAAATTCCTGTTCAGTGTAAACAGACTCGGGGGTGGGTGGAGAAACATAGTTAGAAATAAGGAATACAGATTTTGTTTTTGTCTTTCGCTCATTTGTAAAAGTCCCTAGAGAGTAATGCCAGAAAGATGGTCAAGGAGTAACACTGACACTCATCTCAAAGCCAAAACAACAAATAAACTACGATATGTTGATGGAAATAAGCAAAGAAGATTGCTGGGGACATCAGAGGAGTCACAGGAACCCCACAGAGTACAGAAAACCAGGATGGTTAATTTTGTCAACTGGACACAATTTAGAATCGTAGGAAGAGAGTATCAGTGAGGGGCTGTCTAAACCACAGGGGCCTATGGGAGAGTGTCTTGATTATGTCAGTTGGTATGGAAAGCTCACTGGGGTCTACACCATTTCCTAGGTAGGATAAGTGGGGGGCAGAGCGAGGGGACTGAGTACAAGCTGGCATGCATTCTCTTTGCTCCTGACTGGAGAGGTGCTCAGTGTGTCGAGTTCCTGCCACTGTGACATCCCATGACTGTAGCCTGGAACTGTGAGCCAAATTAACATGATCTATTATGTTGTTTTTGTGAGGTTTCTTTTTTCTTTTTTAGCCATAGAAATAGGAAATGAAACTAGGGCAGAAGTCTACATCTTCAATCCTACGGTTCCCTGCAGGCCTCACAGGTCTAAGCACAGTGAGGGACTTGCTTGGAGACTACATGGTTAGTCTTTCCAAACAGAGCTAACACTGTGTCTTGTCCCCTGTGGTTCATGCAGAAGTGGTATTGCACCACCTTGCTGGGTATAGCTTGTTCCAGGGGTCTGAACTCAGCCCTTGAAGGACAGGGTGTGGCAGGCAACTTGGAGGGGCAGACTGGAAGGTTTTACAGTAGTTTGCTGCCATAGGTAGAATATAATAGAGCTATCTGGGGGACAGTGGGCCACCAGACAGATGGGTCAGAGGTGATCTTTGTTCATTTTTATTTATTGGGAAATAAATACTGTAATTCTTTGTATCCTATTATCATCATCAGTAAGATCCAGCCATCATCATTTCAGGTGGTTGACATCTTAAATTCCTACTCCTAAATATGCAGCTGTACACTCCTTCCTTTCAAGATTGGGTTTCTCTGTGTAGTCCTGGCTGTCCTGGAACTCGCTCTGTATACCAGGCTGGCTTTGAACTCACAGAAATCTGCCTGCCTCTGCCTCCTGAGTATTGGGATTAAAGGCATGCACAACCAATGCTGGGCTTGTAGGCTTCTTGTTATTCTTATTTCTGAGCAGATTTTCTCCCACTCCTTTATTTTTAAATAAGAAAAGCAATTGCTGACAGATAGGCCTGGAACTATCAAGTGGGCTTCAGTGTTGCTAGGAGCTGGATTGATAGGATTATCCAGATCATGGTACTCTCCGTGGTGTTACACACACACACACACACACACACACACACACACAAACACTCATAGGCAGTCAACATTAAAGAAGACTCACTGTCTGGCCACTGGGACAGAAGACTGCTATAGAATATTCCTTTACACTGTGTGTCACTATGTCGCTTATATATGTCGTTATGATTGGTTTAATAAACAAGCTGACTGGCAAATAGCTGAACAGTGTGTTTGAGAACAGCTGCAGGACAGGAAAACTCCACCTACAGAAGACAAAACCAAAATCTGCTGTGGGATATTTGAGCACACTCTGACACCCCCGAGATGCCAATACAGTTTGTTTTGAATCAGAGAGCGGAGCTAGCTAGTAGCTAACCAAAATTAGCCATAGAGCTTTTGGAGGACTGAGGATATATAGAGAGACACAGGAAATAGTAAGGAGGGGATGAGAGAAAGGCTCAGTCCTTTTGGATCAAGGAAGGAGAGAGACTGGAGGTCACTGATTGCTTCTCCGTCATTTCTGTGATCAATCAGGTTCTTGATCTGACTCCCAAGTTTTTATTGATAAAGAATATTTAGATAAACACTTGAAAGACCATTCTTTAATTATGCCTAAGCAGACAGAAATCACAGCACTATTCAACTGCAAAGCAATAACAGTCCTCTTATTCCCACCAATACGGATGACTGTTACTTCTTAATCCTGGCATAGCAGTCAATCCTGGCTCCCGTCTGACATACAATGACTGAGAAATCCAAAGCTGAAACTGCCCAACAGAACAGAAATGTCTTTAGTATTCAACTGAGTCTTGCTATTTGTGGTCAAAGCCTGAAATGAAATCCTACTATTTCTTAGAGATCAGAAAAAGAAGACATTTTTTTCCCCCTAGGGAAGAATGTTATTCATAAGATGCTCTGTATTTACCAACATTTAAAAACAAACTGCAGTGTGTGTCCAACACACTAACTACTATTTTTGAAATCAGAAGAAAAAAGTAGTTGTTTTCAGGTATATAATGAAGCGAATAACCCATGGCAAACAATGTAAACTGGCCATCTACACTCGGTGACAGGGGCATGCAGAGAATGAAGTGGATGAGCCACCGTTCATCTTTCCCCTGCGAGTCTTTCAACAGAGGAATTTTTAGTGTTGCTTTTAGCTCCCCATATCTGAACTAATAGACATTGCCTATTCAAAAGAACTGAATCATTTCTAACAAACTATCACTGTATCACCAGAGGGATAAGACCTTCAACACTAATGAAAAAGACAAACATCAAGTGCTATACAAATGAATATTAAAAAAAAACTAAAAGCTGGGCAGTGGAGGCGCACACCTTTAATCCCAGAACTTGGGAGGCAGAATCAGGAGGATCTCTGTGAGTTCAAGGCAAGCCTTGTCTACACAGGAAGTTCCAAGCCAGCCAGGGCTACATAGTGAGATTCTGTCTTTAAAAAAAAAAATTAAAAAAAATAATAAAACACAAAAAAAAAACCCACAAAAAAAGCCCCAAAAGCAAAAAACAAAACAAAACAAACAAACAAAACCAAGAGTCTTTCATCATGCTCCACCCGGCCTCTGAAGCCAGGGACACTTGCCCAGGTGTTTCTTAAGTTTTTGGTAGAAAGATCAAAATTTGCTTCCTTAGAGTTTGTTTGCCTCCTGTGGCCTATCTGCTCTTCCTCTGAGACTCTAGCAATAAATCAGAGGCAACTATTTTGTGGAGGAAGTCCCACCCCGGGATTCCTCCTGCTGACCTCACATGAACTTCCAAGATCCCCTGGTGCCAAAGGTGTAGAAGTGTAGTTGCTTGACATGGTCACCCTGGGTCTCGACCCTGTTCTCTCAGCAGCCAGAAGCTTACTGGTTCTCTATGAAATCAGTCAGAGATGAGTGGACGAAGTCATCTGAAGTCTGGCGGAAGATCTTGTAAGGAGCCCCACAGAGATACCAAGAAACCTGGAAAGATCGAGTCCTTAGTCCTTAGTCCTTAGTCATTCACCATCGAAACACATCTTGGGCATCTGAAGGTACTAGAAACTACAGAGCAGTGTTCCTCAACCTGTGGGTCACAACCCCTTGGGGTTAAAAACCCTTTCATAGGGGTTACCTAAGGCTACTGGAAAAAAAACAGATATTTATAGTATGATCTCTAATAGTAGCGAAATTACAGTTATGAAATAGCAACAAAATTAATTTTATGGTTGGGAGTTACCATAACATGAGGAACTGTATTAAAAGGTCACAGCGTTAAGAAGGCTGAGAACCACTGGTCTAGAGGAATTGTCAAAATACAGTTAAGCTGCACACCCCCTGGCTTTGCTCCTGCAGGTCTAAGAACTTAAGAATCCACACTTCTAACTAGTACCCAGAACGATCCTGGATTGTTGTACCACAGGGACTACACTCAATACACAGTGCTGGGAGAGTAGAAAATTTAGAAAATCTGGGCCTCGGGAGACATCCTAGAGGGTAAAAAGAACCTACTACCTGACAATCCAAGCTCCATCCCCAAGACCCACATGGTGTAAGGAGAGAATTGGCCTGCGCAGTTTGTCCTCCCTCCCCCACGCACACACCATGGCATGTGCTCAGGCACACTAACACACAGACACACATTACATAAAGGCAAACATCTTAAAATAGACATCAAAATGTAAAGACAACATAACCAAAAGAAGTAAAACACATATACCAAGTGTACTCAAGACATTGATTCTGGAGTTGGCGCTGCTGTAACTGGCCGCCACCCGGAAAAAAGCAAAGGGGATCCATCATTGCACGCTGTGCAGAGCACAAACTCAGGCAGGTCTGAAAATTTAAATACATGCATTTTCAGACGCCTCAAAAGTATTGCAAGTATTCTGGAGTCCACACTGCGTACCACCGTGCCATGGGCTGTGAGTGGTGCCGTTCCACCTGGGAAACACGTGCTACAGCCTGCTCACCCCAGATCAGAGAAACAACAGCCAAAGACAGAATCACATAAGTCCAAACTAGTGAGACCGATGAGGTCACGGGGCTCGCTTACACAGTACAGGGGAAGGGTTACTGAAAAGAGCAATGGTGACCCCCAAACAGCTACATCATATTAAAAGTCTCATCCCTTCATGGATGACAACCTCATGGGAGCTGCATCACGAAGTCCTGCTTTTAACTAATCTTCCATTTCTTATATATAGTAGCACCTCTCGAGAATCCTTTCCTAGAGACTCTCAATAGCGCCATGACATTCCACAGACCTATCACTCAGTCTTGCTCTAGTGTCAGAATCTGGAGCAAAGTCCAAGACGGTATCTAGTTATGCACGGAGGAAGAAGCTTCCATCCATCACACACAGATGAGGAAAACCGAAGATATAAAGGATGGCACGCATTTCTGAGCAGACCACATCATATGATAAAATATGCCATCATGGGGAAGGGGGAGCAAGACGACTCAGATGGTAAAGACACTTGTCACCAAGACGACTCGGATAATAAAGACACTTGTCACCAAGACGACTCGGATAATAAAGACACTTGTCACCAAGACGACTCAGATGGTAAAGACACGTGTCACCAAGACGACTCAGATAATAAAGACACTTGTCACCAAGACGACTCAGATAATAAAGACACTTGTCACCAAGACGACTCAGATAATAAAAAAACTTGCCACCAAGCCTGATGGCTCTAGCTTGACCTCAGGGGACCATGCAGTGGAAAGAGAGAACCAGCTCCCATGGGTTGTTCTCTGACTTCCACACTTGTGACATGGCAAGTCTGTGCTGCCCTGGAACACAAACAAATAGCTTTAACACACACATACATAATGAGTGTGTGTGTGTGTGTGTGTGTGTGTGTGTGTGTGTGTGTGTAGCTATAGCTCAGAGGTAGAACATTTGCTTAGCATGCTTGAGGTTCTGGGACCAACACCTCCCCACCCCCAAAAAAGAAAGACAAAGAAAAAAGATGCCACAAAATTGAAATAAAGATATATATTATTGGGCTGGAGAGATGGCTCAGTGGTTAAGAGCACTGCCTGCTCTTCCAAAGGTCCTGAGTTCAATTCCCAGCAACCATCTGTAATGAGATCTGGTGTCCTCTTCTGGCCTGCAGGCAGAGTACTGGAAATACTGTATACATAATAAATAAATAAATCTTTAAAAAAAAGATATATATTATTTTTATCAAGAGACTAATAGCTTCTTTCTAATAAAAAAATCTAGCAATTGCTTTTAAAAACCCAAGGGGTAAAAATTGGACAAACCATAGAAAACTTGCAAAAAGGAAAGGCATTTGGGAAATTAAGTTCTTTCACAAACTGATGATGGACACTTGAATTGCTATAATATCCCCGGGGCTATTTAGTCATACCTATTATTAAAAATACAATTAACTGGACATAGTGGTGCACGCCTTTAATCCCAGCACTCAGGAGGTGGATCTCAGTGAGTTCATGGCCAGCCTGGTCTACAGAGCGAGTTCCAGAACAGCTAGGGCTACACAGAGAAGCCCCATCTCGAACATCCCCACCCCCCCGCAAATACTCGTAAGTGGAGGGGGGCAGTAAGGGCTGGTAAGATCAAAACACATTGTATACATATGGAGAATTTTCAAATAATAGGTAAATGTATTATGTAAAAATATACATTATTATGTAAAAATATACATGTGTTGGTAACAATACACTTATAGCAATATATACCATCCCCCAAAACTAAGCAGACAAAAAAATCTGTATGGTCATATGATATATTAAAATATATGCTTATATACCACAATACATCTAATTAAAGAACGAATTATTTTTATGTAATAGATGTGACATTTATGAAAAGTGATTATGGCATAGGCCATAAAGTATTTTTCAACTCGACCCACTACCCAGAGACATTTGAAACAAGAAATTCACTTTAAAATGACTCCTGGATCAAAGAAAACAAATTTAAAAAAGAAAGCCAATTATATTTGAACAATAATAAAGAGAACTCTACAGAACAAAGGTCGCAAATCCTTTACATTAAAGAAGGCTATAAATTAATGAGCTAAACTTTCAGACTAAAAAGCAAACAGATAACAGACGCCACGATTTCATGGGTCACTCAGCCCAGTCCCGCTCGTCCCTCACACCCGTTACCCGCCCACCCTTCCACCACCAAACTCCCGTTATTGACAGGAGAAATCCTCCCAGGGACAACCATCAACCCCGCAGTCACCACGGCAACACCGCCTAACACCCACGCACACTACTGACTCCACAAATTCTAGCTGAAACCAACCGGAATCATTCCCGAAGACTTCTTGTTATTAACAGAATTAACAACAGAAATACTCAACAGCGGCAGCGCGGGCCAGAAACCACCTTCCGGGACTAAGGCCACTTCCGGTCTTCCAAAAAAATGTCCTCCCGAGCTATTATTAGTGCGCATGCCCAGCGTTACCTGGGCAGCTAGAGAAAACCAAGGCGTGCTCGCTCGCGCACACACACACACACACACACACACACACACACACACACACACACACGTGTAGCTTCAAGAGGCTCTGCATACGATTCCTTAATTGGCCCTGAGAACATGGCCGCGCCCACAGATACTTATTCGTGTAGGCCGCCATCTTTGAAGTTTGCCCATTCCGTACAGCAGAGGAATCCAGGCCGATTTCACAGAATGAGCTAAAGAATTATCAGGTAGATAGAGTGCTGTGACCTTTGTATGTGCATCATCCAAGAGGAAGAAGGTACTCGACATGGGATCATGCTATATTCTTTTATATTTAGAATCCTAGTTGCCATGCTGAATACAGCGCCATCTGCTGGAAGAAACTGTAGGGTACAGGGGATCCCGAAAAGAAAAAAAACGTTTAAGAGTGGGCTGGAGGGAGAAACCATTGGTAATGAGGGGAGAAACCAAGGTGGTACAGTCCGCTCTATAGAAAAAAATCATTCATGAAAAAGGTTGACAGTTCAGGATGGAAATCTGCTTCGGAGAGAAACCCCAACAACCGAGGGAGGCGTCAGAATCAGGATCACAAGCAACTGGAAGAGCGTTAAAATCTTTTTTTTTTTTTTTTTTTTTTTTTTTTGCTTTTTCGAGACAGGATTTCTCTGTGGTTTTGGACCCTGTCCTGGAACTAGCTCTTGTAGACCAGGCTGTAGATAAGGTAGAGGCAGATGTGGCACATAGTTTATAAAGAAAGAACTTAAGATGGCCACCATGTGACTAAAAGCACCAAAATTCAAAAGTAATTGGTAGATAGCAATGTAAACGAAGCCTTAAGAGATACCATGGCTCTCTAAATATGTAAGTAAACTCAAAGACTAACCAGAGAGGCCGAGGTGGAGGCTCAAGCCTCAAATACTTAGACAGGTTTTGCCATGACAGGCAGCTTGCAAATCTTTCTATAAATTCTAGGTGATCTGGCTCTCCCTTTTGGCCTGTGCAGGCACTGCAGTAATATATGAATTCACACACACACACACACACACACACACCCCAAATCTTTAAAAAAAAAAGGCTGACAATAGTTTTAATGGTAATGGAACAAATAAAACTTTCTTACATTGCTGGTGAAATTAGATAGTATGACCACTTTGTAAAACAGTCTGGTAGTTCCTTACAAAATTCAATATTTGCTTATAAGATTCACTGACTCTACTCCCACATATCTCCTAAGTTAAGTGGAAGCACATGCTTATAGAAAGAACTGCAAGCAGATGTCTGTCTGCTTTATTCAAATCAGCTAATCTGGAGAAGAGGGAAATATCCATGAACGTGTGACTGGACATGCAAGCTCAGATACAGAATTCATAAACGGGATATCATTCAACAAAGAAAAGAAATGCTTAGGAAGAAAGGAGTATATTTGAGTCCCATAAACACCTTGCCAAAACCAAAGTAAAAAAGTATACCTACTATGTAATTCCATTTGCTTATTGGAGACTGGATCTCCCTATATTGCTCTGGATGTTCTGGAACTCCAAACTCACTGTGTGGACCAGGCTGGCCTCGATCTCACAAAGATCAGCCTGCCTCAGTTTCCATGTGCTGGGATTAAAGGCGTGCGCCACCACCGCCCAGCAACTTGTGATTTCATTTGTAAGGAACTCTTCATGAAGAATGCCTCACTTATTCTGTGGATGCCCACAGAAAATCAGGGTGGGGCTTGATGTATAAAAATAATCCAGGCAGAGTCAGGTGATGGTAACGCACGCCTTTAATCCCAGCACTCAGGAGGCAGAGGCAGGTGGATCTCTGTGAGCTCAGGGCCAACCTGATCCACAGGTGTTAGGCATTTTAATGGTTTATTAAAATCCCACGTACAAATGTTAAAGAACAAAAGGGGAACCTGAGCCGAATCGCAAGCCACCACCAACCCCTGCCATTGCTCATTTACAGCTCAAAAAGGCTGCAGACTTCACGCTACGCCTCTTCTCTCAGTACCTTCCATCCCCAATATAAACCCTGCCTCTTGAACCAAAAGACTTCTGAATTGGCTAGCGGACATGAGCAAGTTCCAGACAGCCAGGACCACACAGAAACAAAAAACAAGCAAACAAGGTCTAGGTCGTAAATATGACGCCAGTGCCATATATTCATGTTGAGTCTCGTCAAACAGCTCACTGTTAAGTTAGTGCATTCCTGGCCGGAGAGGGGGCCAGTGACGAAGAGTACTTTCTCTTCTCGCAGAGGATATAAAGTCAGGTCCCACCACCTACATGGTTGCTCACAACCCTTTGTAAATCCAGTTCCCGAAGATCTGATGCCCTCGCCTGGCCTCCACAGCCACCGACTGCGGGAAAGAAGCTTTTAAAGGTGTGTTTTACAATAAACCCATACGACTGGTGTCTTTTGTTGTATCGAAATTGTACCTCAGTGGACTTGATTTTCTTTTAAAAATCCAACATAACTATAACTAATAAGGCATCAGAAGGCTCACGCCACACGCACGAGTTCCCGGGTTCAGTTCCCCGTAGCCGCTCTTGCTACACACAACTTAATTGTTTTACTGTTTCACAGAGTTGCACACACATCACTATTTCCTAATTTAAGAATATTTTCGCGGGATAGTGGTGACGCTCACCCTTAGTCCAAACATCTGAGACAGGGAAAGATGGATAAGATGAACTGCAAATCCAGCCAACACAGTGAGTTCCAAGACGGCCTGGAGAGATACCCAGACTCAAAACAAACAAACAAACAAGTCTCCCTGGAGAGATACCCAGACTCTAAACAAACAAACAAATAAATTTGAATAGGAAAAAACTTTTTTTTAAGAAAAGAAACTGAACTGTAAAAGAATCCCATGCCTACTCAGGAGCAATCATTCGTTCACAATTCTTCCTAAATCTGACAGTTTTTAATAACTAATATTTATTGTCTTTTTTTATATGCCACCTAAATGAGTCATATAAACCCTATACTGAGGAAGGCAAAACGGGAGACCTATCGACATCCTAAACATTCCTTCAGTGTGTTCTAACGCCCACAAGCGTCCCAACACTGGGTGTGGTCTTTCAGCTATCACTGAAGCAACTTTGTTCCAGGAGATTAGTGCCACGCACTAGTCCCTAGACTACATTTCCCAGAAACACGTGCGACGACACACAGCTTCCGGCGCCAACCTGGCCTCCACTTACTCAGAAAGCAGTGGTTTCCCGAGGTCGGCCCCTTACCATGGAGGGGGCTTGTGTCCAGGATGTCAGCCCTGCGTGTTGTGAGAGTTTCAGTCCCAATTTGTGCCTGTGTTTAGGAAACTTGCGCACGCAATTGCACGTGCGGAGCGAGCCTCTCAGCCTGCCTCAGGCGGTGCCCTGGCGGGAATCCGAGAGCGGGCGCCATTTTCCCCGCCAGGTCCCACCGCGGACTACATTTCCCAGAAACTTCCGCGCACTCAAAGCAGCCCCTTCTTTTGCCTGCGGGACCCTCGTTGTCCGGGGACGGGAAAGTGCGCGGGGAGCGGCCTAGACCCTTGTGAGGCTCCGCAGGTGCGACCCTGAGTTCTGAAGGGAAATACCAGTTGGTATCGGAGCTGTCAGGCCGATGGGAGTTAGTCTAGCCGGGTGAGCAGTAGCGAGCTCTTGGCTGTGCGTGAGTGTGACCTGAAGTGACCCTAGGGCGCCACGAGTGCTCGGGTGTGATTTTTAAGTTTCTCAGTGAGCATTCTCAGAGCTGTGTGTGATTGATAACTGTGCGACCGTGTGTGTATGTGTGTGTGATTGCGTCCCCGTGTGTTTGGACTGATGGTGTGTAATGGCATAACTTGTTTATGAGGGATCTATCAGAGAGTTAGTAATTACGCTCGCAAGACTTAACTTGAGGGGGAGATGTGTGTGTGTGTGTGTGTGTGTACCGTGTGTACTGGGTGTTTGAGACTCTGCAGATGTTTGAGTGTGATTATGTAACTTTATGTGATATAGTGAGTATGGTTGGAAGATGAGTCCCGTTGCCAGGCTGACTGTGTCTCTCATGAGGCTGTTGTGTTCTGCTAATTGTGTGATTTTGTATAATTCTCATGAGGGGAACTGGAGGGGATTGTCACTATTGTGTGACTCCGCAGTGAGTGTGTTATTGTGACCATTTGTAGCACCGTGGTTTTCTGTGGTGTTGTATTTTAGGGTTCTGTAACCGTGTGGATGTGGCTGTATTCTCAGGGTAGACGTGTTCCTGTGGCTTCGACAGCTGTTGCAGGCTGTTGTTTGGGTTAGGTGTGGGTGTCAGGATATATGGGATCCCTGTGGTGGGTGAGTGACTGCAGCCGTGGGTTTGTAGGTGTGGGATGCCTCTGACTGACCAAGTGGCTCCAATCTTCTGTTCTGAGACCCCAGTGAGATAAGGACCAATTCCAGTCTCCGACAACATAGGCTTCATTCCTTTTCTGACTCTAGGAATATCACGACAGCCTAGATTTCTTCTCCCTGGGTGACAGGTATGCATCCAGGGTGACCTTTTATTAAAAGGCTTAGGATCTCATGATTCCTTCTTTCTTCCCCAGCTCTGCCCCTCCAGAAGTATCCAGTGGAGAAAAGAGGAATGGCTGTGGACCAAGCCAAATCCAAGGTGCACTGGGCTTTCCCGTTTGCTTTTCTCTGGGATGGTCTTGCTTAGCACTGACTCATAAAATAACCTGGTTCTTCAAATTTTCCATTCATGAAAATGGTGGGAAACTCTGCATGGACACACACCCTGTGTTTGCTCTGACTTCATTCTGTGTAATGGTTACATGTTGATTTAGGAAACAGATAACTTGTAAAGTTTTTGTTTCTTTCCAAACACACATCTCAAACAGGGTTATTTTAAAGAATTTCGGAAACAGAGCTGAGTTAAATTTTCCCTGCACGGAAACAACCTCTGCTCAGTTTCTTCTCCTGTTATTTTCAAGGGTGGGATCTTTACAGCACCGACCACTGCATATATTCCCACTAAAAGTTATGCATGGCAGTTGTGTAGTTTGGTTGTTGTTTGCTTTGTTTTGTTTTTTGAGACAGGCTGTGTAGGGGAATGTGCTACAACTGTGGTGCTGCAAAGATACCCTGGGACCCCAGGCTGTGCTGAGAGCCCGTAGGACAGCTCTGGAGGGGCGGAGCCGCGGTAGGACAGCTCTGGAGGGGTGGAGCCGCGGTAGGACAGCTCTGGAGGGGCGGAGCCGAAATAGGACAGCTCTGGAGGGGTAGAATCACAATAGGACAGCTCTGGAGGGGTAGAATCACAATTGGACAGCTCTGGAGGGGCGGAGCCGCAATCGGACAGCTCTGGAGGGGTAGAATCACAATAGGACAGCTCTGGAGGGGCGGAGCCGCAATCGGACAGCTCTGGAGGGGCGGAGCCACAGTAGGCCAGTTCTGGAGGGGCGGAGCCCCAATAGGACAGCCCTGGAAAGGTAGAGTCGCAATAGGACAGCTCTGGAGGGGTAGATCCATAGTAGGACAGCTCTGGAAGCTGGAGCTGCAATGGGACAGCTCAGCCCTCCAGGAAAGGTGTCCTGGCTTTATTGGGAAGCCAGGCTTCCTGAAGCTGGGGTGCGGTTAGGTGTGGTCTCCCGGTAGGATATAGCAATCCTGCTCTTCTGGAGAGCCACTATAGCTGTGCCCTTAAGGGAACATCCGAGCAGAGCTATCAGCTTCTTCTCCAGCCCAAGACATGACTTCTTTGGCTAACACTCTGCTAAAGGGGAAGCCCATGCAGAAATGTAGCAATCTCCTGCCCCGCCTTGCTCAGCGCTCATGGAGCTCCCAGCAAAGTTCTGGTCTCTGCTTTGCTCTGGCCCCCGAGGGACGTCCCTGGGCCAGGTTCTTCTGTTCTGTACCAGTGAATGAAGATTGCCACCCAATACTCTTTTGAGAGAGAGATTTATTTGGGAAAGAGAAGTCCAGGAGAGTGACTGCCTCTGCCAGGTAGGGATAAAAGGTGGCCTCTAACTCAACCAGCAGAAAGGCTTATATAGATGGCTTCTTAGGGGCAGGGTTTTCCCAGGGAAAAGAGGGATTGGTTAGTTTTCCCTGCTCAGGAGCAGAGAAGGCTCTGATTCATGGCCAAACTGTGTTTCTTTCGCTGGTTCTTTTTAGCCCTTTGACTCTAATCTTAGGACCAGGGCATATTTCTTTTACTGGATCTGATTCTAGAGACAAAGTGTGTTTATTTGACACTGGTTTCAGAGTCAGGGAACATGTCTTTAGTCCTGGGTTCAGGAATAAAGATGTTTCTTTCCCTGGCTCAGGTCTCAGATCCAGGGTGTGTTTCTTTCACTGGCTCTGGACTCAGAGTCAAGGTGCTCAGTGTGGTTGGTTTCCTGCTCCAGTTGTCCCTTTTACCCTATAGGCTGGTCTCAAGCTCCCTTATACTTCTGATTCTCCTGCCTGCACTTTCCCAAGTACTGAAATTACATGTGTGAGTCACCATACGTAAAAAAAGAAGTTTATTTTTAATTTATGTGTATGGTTGTTTTGTATGTATGTATATATATATATATATGTGTGTGTGTGTGTGTGTATTGTGTTTTGTATCTATGTATCTATGTATCTATGCATGTATGCATGTATGTTTAGCACCTCATATGTCCAGTGCTTCTGGAGGCCAGGAGAGTGTTGGATCCACTGGGACTGGAGTTCGAGAAGGTCGTGAGCCACTGTATGGGAGCTGGAAACCAATCACGGGTCCTCAGCAAGGGCAGGAAGTCCTTTAACCACTGAGCCATCTCTCAGCCCCCATTTTTGAGTCATTTGTGGTGTTGGTTGTGTTTCGTTCTGAAACAGGGTCTCACTGTGAAGCCCAGGCTGGCTTTAAACTTGAAGTCAAACTCCTGCTTTAGTCTCCTAAGCACTGGGTATGAGCTGCCATGCCTTACCTTAAAAATTCCATATTTGCTAGATGAGAGGCAGGCCAATTTCTGCAAGTTTGAGGCTAGCCATGGTCTGTTAATTGAGAACTGTGCAGTGAGACCCTTTGTCTTAAAAAAAATACTAGCGTCTGGGGCCAGGCGGTGGTGGCACACACCTTTAATCCCAGCACTCGGGAGGCAGAGGCAGGTGGATCTCTGTGAGTTTGAGGCCAGCCTGGGCTACAGAGTGAGTTCCAGGACAGGCTCCAAAGCTACAGAAAAACCCTGTCTCAAAAAAACCAAAAAAAAAAAAAAAAAACCTAGAGTAACCTTATTACAGATAACTGTATGTAGAGGGATGTTTCTGTCTGGCTAGCCAGTTCCCAAATGGTTACATGGAGACTCATTACTAATGAAAGCTTGGCTGATAGCTTAGGCTTGTTTCTAACTAGCTCTTATAACTTCTGCCTCATGGCTTTATTACCTTTTCTCCGTACTGCCCATGCTAGTTTCCTGCTTCATCCCTGCTGAGCTGTTGACCAGTCCACTTTTATTAGACCAATCCCAGTGGCAAATCTTTGTAGTGTACAAAAAGATAATTCCACAACAACCGTAGTTTGGACATTGTTTCTCAGTTTTTAATTATTACCAAAAGGTTGTTATAGGCTGAATGTTCCTGTCCCACAGCTGCTCTCAAATAATCACTCAGAGGCTTAATATGAATTATAAATGCTTGCCAATGGCTCAGGAGTTTTTACTAGCTAATTTTTACATTTAAATTAACCAATATTTTTATGTATTATTTTCATGTGACTCATATCTTGTTACCTCATTTTTTAAAAATAAATCTTTATTTATTTATTATCTACACAATGTTCTGTCTGCATGTCTGCCTGCAGGCCAGAAGAGGGCACCAGATCTCAGTACAGATGGTTGTTAGCCACCATGTGGTTGCTGGGAATTGAACTCAGGACCCCTGGAAGAACGGCCAGTGCTCTTAACCTCTGAGCCATCTCTCCAGCCCTTGTTACCTCATTTTCTACATGTCCTGTCTCCTCAGTGGCTAGCTGGTATCTCCTCTACTCTGCCCTTCATCCCTCAGTTTGATTGTCCCACCTAACTTTATCCTGCCTTGCTGTCGGCCAGTCAGCTTCTTTATTAACCAATGAGAGGTATACATATTCACAGTATACAGAAGGATTATTTCATAGCATTTCTCTCTTTTTGTCTAATTAAAAAGGAAGGTTTTAGGCTTAACATAGTAAAGCTGTATATAACAAAACAGTTACTAAATAAGAATTACAGTTACAATATCTAGTTTATTTGTATTTGGCAAAATTAAAGGAAATACTCTGCCATCTATCTTATCTTTATGAGTCCAAAGTTTTGTATCAATTTACTTTTTATCATAACCAAATAAAACTATAACTATCTAGTCTTCAACTCTGTCAAAGACCCAGAAGGGCAAAATGTTACCTAGCGACAGGGACATCTTGCTGCTTGGGCAGTCACCCAAAGATCCTCTGTAACTTTGGGGCATTCAGCTCTAGTCTACAGGCCTAGCATGTCTATAGCCTCCTGTGAAGCAGGGAATTCTGAAGGACTGTCTTACCTTGTCTTGGCAAAGTTTGGCAGCCACTTTTTTTTGCATTCTGCTGGTCCAGTTTGGACAGTATATTGTCAGCATTTGAGGCAAGGGTAGTTTCTCTGCCCACATGACTAGCTTTTGCATAAAAAAAAGCAAACTCGATATGGAGTTTTTTCTGCCCGTCATCTTCTCTGAACTAGATCAGTGCTGCCAGGAGCAGATGTGTCTTTCTGTCATGAAAAACCTTAGGTTATTAAAAATATTAAATGCCATATTCTGTACATCTTTGAAGACTATTTAACTATATCTGTGTATGACCTTGAAAACATACCTAACATGACTTTAAGTTTGACTATTATAGATGACCTACTATTAATCTGTATTTTTAAATTATACATTTAAAATGAGCTTCATAAGAATAGTACTTCAAACAAGAGTAGAAATATACACACAGTATAACAAAATTAACTTTAAAATGTTATCAATAAACCAAAATCTATACCAATGTAAAATATTCAAGATTATTAATTGTTTTTGGATTAAAGTAGATTCAGTAATCTAGCCTTTTATCCTATCATCTCTATATTTCCTCTTTTCTTTTTATAAGGAGATCCCTGAATCTAATCTCCTTTGTTCAGCTTTTTTCCTGACCATTACCAATAAGTTGTAACCTGTGGGGGCCGAAATATGCATGCCCATATTCTTTTTTTTATGATTAATAAAAGGGTTATTTATTTAAAGGGAAAAACTTACAGATCACCATTCTAGACAACAGCCTCCTGCACGACCAGGAACAGAGTCTAGCAGCCGGAAGAGGAGCTGGAAGCAAGAGAGGAGCAGGCCCATATTCTACATTGTTTGGTGATCAGAGAATCTGAGCGACTTAGAAGGCACAATTTACACAACAATAACCAGCCCCCCTTAAATGATAATATCTATAACCCATTTTTTGAGAATGTAGGCATAGTTTTCTAGCTATTTCCTGTTGACTGGGGGCACTGACATCTTCCAGGGAACCTTGAGAAAATCAGGATAATTGTTAAGTCCTGGCTGTAGTGTTCTGTAAGGCTGGATCATCTCATACAGCAGCCTAGAAGCTGTTCTGGATGCTGGATTACCTGGGCCATCATTTTCATTGGTGTCTGGTCCCCTTGCTCTGAATAACCTTTTAAAAGTAATATACATATCTGTATTAGTATGAGTATAGATTGTGCATTGTACACAAATCAGTTAAAGATGATTTTTTTTGTTATGTGTTTGAGCAGGTAAAATATGCACCATGTGTCTTGTAGTTCTTTTAGGTTTATTTTTTTATGGTAAAGTACACATCTAGACAGGAAGCTTCCCTGGAGAAAAAGGAATAGTTCATAATAAAAATAGCTGGGGGAGATGGCACACGCCTTTAATCCTAGTACTTGGGATGCAGAGACAGACAGATCTCTGTGAGTTCAATACCTGCCTGGTCTACATAACAAGTTCTAGGCCAACCAAGGTACCTAGTGAGACCCTGTCTCAAGTAAAATAAATAAAATGCAATGTCATATAAAGTATAGTGTACTCATATTTTTCTTTGGGCTGCCAGCTCACAAGTAGCATGGAAACTTATTATTAACTATGAAAGCTTGGCCTTAGCATAGGCTTGTTCTCAACTAGCTCCTATGACCTAAACCATTTCTACTCATCTCCATTCTGCCATGTGGCCTTACCTCTCTTCTGTCCTGCACCTTCTGTTTCCTCTCCACGTCTTACTGACAAATCCAGATGCCTAGATTTCTTCTCCCAGTTCTCTCTCTCTGCCCACAAGTCCTTCCAATTCTCTCCTGCCTAGCTATTGGCCATTTAGCTCTTTATTATACCAATCAGAAGGCATCTTAGGCAGACACATCTTTACGGTATAAACGAATATTCCACAACAGTATAGGTAGTATTTGTTCCATATTCCCACTAAGGAGAATTCCAACGAGGAAAGTAGAGTTAGTTATTATCTGACTGCTTTAAGCATTCATTGTAAGACTGGTACAGTTTCTAGGGTATTCCTTTCCTTACCCAGCCTTACCTTCTCAGGGCCTCCCCTGTGTAGCAAGTCTTTATGCCACCAACTCCCAAATAATGACACAAAGACTTATTAATTATGAAAGCTTGACTTTAGCTTAGACTTGTTTCTAGTTAGCTCTTACAACTGAAATTAACCCATTTCTATTAATCAATGTGTTAACACAGGGCTTGTGGCTTTTACCTCTCCTTGTGCATGTCCTGCTCCCTCTGCATCCAGCTGGTGACTCTACCTTTCTTCTCCCTCTAGTCCTTTCTGGCCCCAGAAGTCCCACCTAACCTCTTCCTGCCTAGCTGTTGGCCATTCAGCTCTTTATTAACCCAATCACAGTGACACATCCTCACACAGTGTAAAGGAATATTCTGAAACACCCCTGCCTCTAGAGCAGCCTTGAGGAAGACTGGCGGTATCTGCAGTACTTCCCACCATGACTGAAGGAATGATGGTCTTACTCCCTGACATTCCATTCTTCCTCTTGAGAGATAGGTGCAGTGCTGTGAATACCTGAACTCCAGCCACTCAGGAGGCTACACTTGCTTTCCTTGTGCTGACATTTGTGGCTGATAAAGATTACTGTGCAAATCTTGGTTCCCTGTTGACTCTCATGCTAATCCTGCATCACCACTAAGTACCTCTGATTTTCAAATAACATTAATATTTTCATTCAGCAAATGACTGTTCATCTTGTATTGACCTTTTTCCAGTCACTGTGATGGACAGGAAATGGTGTACTGAGGGAAGTGAAAGTAGAATTATAGAATGAGCTTGTCCTTCCTAGTCTGTGACTTGATGAGGTGACAATGAGTCACTTAGCTTGCAAGACACATGGAGAAGCCAAAATCATGTCTACAAACTAGTATTTTGCAGTGAGAGAATAGGAAATGGGGTCGGTACTTCCGAGTGTTGAAAGATGTCCTAGCTTATGGGGCCTATGGAATCATTAGTAGCTGATACAGACCTTTGAGACTCTAAGTATTTAAAAACATGTTTAGTTGAAGTCCAATGGGAACTGTGGGTCATGCTGATTTTTGGTTTTTCAAGACAGGGTTTCTCTGTGGAACAGCCTTAGCTGTCCTGGAACTTGCTCTGTAGATCAGGCTGACCTCGAACTCACAGAGATCCTCCTGCCTCTGCCTCCCGAGTGCTGGGATTAAAGGTGTGCACCCCCACAACCTGGTCATGCTGACTTTCTATATGAATCATTCATTTTATTTATCTCAGAAATAAGAACAAGTATGATAGTGGGTGGTTTTAATTAGTCTCATCAGTGTATATAAGCTGTTGAGATTGTAAATCAGAAATCAAAACATTTGGTCACCAGAAAAATAATTTGTATTAGTAAGAAATTTTTTTTTCTTGATGCTGGGGATTGAAACCTGGACTCTATCAGTGACTACTCCCTAGTCCTGATGTTTTGAGACTTTATCTCACTATATAACCCAGGCTGACAACTCAAAGTACTCTTGTCTCAGCCTCCCTGGTGCTGGCATTATGTCATGCATCAGCATGCTTGGCTTTGTCATCTGTTTCTGAATGAACAGAGAATCCAGAGGTACTGGTTCTTGACATCAGAGCAATGGCTCATTCGCTGAACCCCACAGCACAAGCACCAGAGTTTCAGGAGGAGTTTTTGTATTTTACAGCTAGGGTGTGCGTTTATTGTTTCAGAAATTGATGGTGTTCAGCGACGTGTCCCTGGACTTCTCTCAGGAGGAGTGGGAGTGCCTGGGCCCTGCTCAGAGGGACTTGTACAGAGATGTGATGTTGGAGAACTACAGCAACCTGCTTTCAGTGGGTAAGAGCGCCCGTACCAACAACTCAGCCTTCTCTGGAGTGTCTGCTTCTTCCTCAGTGAATTTCTCAGCTGCTTTCCAACTTTGCCACCTGAATTCCTGCTCCTTGTTTGCACATGGTTTCAGCTGGGCTGAAAAAGAAGCCCGGGAAACAGGCCGCTCCAGTGGGCTGTGGCTGAAGCTTCATCTGCGTCTTTGGCTGTTCCTGTCATGGCATCTCTTGCTTGGTGATCGAGGGATTGGATCTGTTTCCCACAGCATAACAATGTCCCATATCTTTTCTTGTAAGCAGGACTTCACATTCCCAAGCCTCAGGTGATCTCTTTATTGGAGCAAGGCAAAGAGCCCTGGATGATTGGCAAAGAGCTTACAAGAGGCCTATGCTCAGGTAAGTGAGAAACACTCAGCAGTGCAGTGCCTGGGGATAACTCGCTGCTGATTGAGGAAACAGCACCTGTGAGATTTATTTTGAAAGCTTCTGCCAGGAAAGCTAGGTCTAGTGAGAAAACCAAGTTCTTTAAAAAAAATTGTTTTTAGTTGCATACATTTATTTGTTTGTTGTATGAGGTTAGTGTGTGGAGATCAAAGGACAACTTACTGGAGTTGGCTCTCTGCCCATCATGTAGGTCCTGGGATCAGACTCCGTCATCAAGCTTGTCATCGTTTTTATGTAACTGACACCTCAGTCTTTCCTCCATCCAGAGGTCCAGTAGCTAAACCCCAGCCTTCTAATAAACCAAGTGTGTGGTGTGTGTGCAGATGTGCACTGTTGCCCGCAGAGGGCAGAAGAGTTCATACATCTGGAACAACAGTCACAGGCTGTGTGAGCTGCCCTGTGGATACTGGGAACCGAGCTGCCAGACTTAACCACCAGCCCGTCCTTCCAGATCCAGTCCCGAGGCTCTCTGAGACCTATCAGTGAACACACTCAGTAGCACTGTGGCAGAAATCAGGACAAAGACCAACATGCTAATGTGTGTTTATCATCTTGACTGGAGGCAGACTTCTCTGTCCCATCTGCCAGCTCCCGAGTAACCACCCAGAGACTTATTACTTATGAAAGCTCACCAATAGCTTAGACTTGTTTCTAACTAGTTCTTCTAACTTAAACTAGCCCAGTTCTGTTCATCTACTTCTTTTATGTGGCTTGATCACCTTTACTTTGCAAATGCCCAGGCTGCTTGCTCTGCACCCCTGGCGTCTCCTCCCTTTTTCCTCCTGGTGTCCTCTGCCCCCCAGTTCCTGCCTAGCTATTGGTCATTCAGCTTTTTATTAAACCAATCAGAGTGGCACATCTTCACAGTGTACAAAAAGATTATTCCACAATATTCCCCCCCCTTTTTTTTTTATCTAAATTGATTGAGGCAAGATAATCCCAGAATCAGCCAGTTCCATAGTAAGACCTCATCTCAGGGGACATTCCTTTAATCCTAGCCTTGGGAGGCAGAGGATCTCTGAGTTCAAGGCCAGCCAGAGCTAGATCATGAGACCTTGCTTTCTTATCTAAACCCAAAACAAATGAAAGACCACATTTATTATTTATTATGCCACAAAATATCCAGGAATTTGCCATGGATATAGATAAATATATATATATATATATATATATATATATATATATATATATATGTGTGTGTGTGTGTGTGTATATATATATATATATATACACACACACTGTCTCTAAAACATTTATATTATGATTCATAATAGTGGCAAAATTATAGTTATGAAAATAACTTTATAGTTGGGGGCACCACAACATGAACTGTATTTAAGTTGCAGCGTTAGGAAGGCTGAGAAGCACTATACAAGACAGATCTTAAGTGCCTGTGATAACCACCTCTAGATAGTAAATTCACTTTAGTTTTTCCCATTTCCATTATAAAAGTTTTAAGTTTTTCCAAATAGGAAGGGAAGAGAACATTTTCTACTTTTTGCCTTTCAGCTCTGGAGTCAATGTGTGAAAGCAAGTTATTATCTCTGAAGAAGGAAGTTTATGAAATAGAATCATGCCAGAGGGAGCTAATGGGACTTAAGAAGCATGGCCTCGAGTACTCCAGTTTTAGAGACGTTCTGGAATGTGGAAGCCAATTGCAATATCAAAATGACCATTTAAGCCAAGAAATACTCAGTCGTGAGTACATGCCCACATTTGTTCAACAGACTTTCCTTACCCTACAACAGATTGTTAATAATGGTGAGAAGCCCTATGAGTGTAAGAAATGTAGGAAGGTCTTTACTCAGAACTCACAGTTCATGCAACATCAGAGACTTCATATTGGTGAAAAGTCCTACGAATGTAAGGAGTGTGGGAAATTCTTCAGTTGTGGTTCACATGTCACTCGTCATCTGAAAATTCACACTGGTGAGAAACCCTTTGAGTGTAAGGACTGTGGGAAGGCCTTCAGTTGTAGCTCATACCTTTCTCAGCACCAGAGGATACACACTGGTAAGAAACCTTATGAGTGTAAGGAATGTGGAAAAGCCTTTAGCTATTGTTCAAATCTTATCGACCATCAGCGAATTCACACTGGTGAGAAACCTTATGCATGCAAAGTATGTGGGAAAGCCTTTACAAAGAGCTCACAACTTTTCCAACACGTGCGAGTTCATACAGGTGAGAAGCCTTATGAATGTAAGGAATGTGGCAAAGCCTTTACTCAGAGCTCAAAGCTCATTCAGCACCAGAGAACCCACACTGGGGAGAAACCCTATGAGTGCAAGGAGTGTGGGAAGGCCTTTAGTAGTGGCTCGGCGCTTACAAACCACCAGAGAATCCACACCGGGGAGAAACCCTACGAGTGTAAGGAGTGTGGGAAGGCCTTCACTCAGAGCTCACAGCTTCGGCAGCATCAAAGAATCCATGCTGGTGAGAAGCCCTTCGAGTGCCTTGAATGTGGGAAGGCCTTCACCCAGAACTCACAGCTTTTTCAGCACCAGAGAGTCCACTCAGATGAAAAACCTTACGAATGTAAGAAATGTGGCAAGGCTTTTAATAAATGCTCAAACCTTACCCGCCATCTGAGAATTCATAGTGGGGACAAGCCCTTTAGCTGTAAGGAATGTGGGAAGACATTCAGTAATGACTCAGACCTTGCTCGCCATCAGGAAATTCACGCTAATGAATAATAAAAATTCATATTTGAGAGTTACTTTCTTGACGCGGTTGATTAGGTATTTATACTTTCAATCATAACTGTAGGTTAGGGATTCCGAGTCTGCGTTTGCTCTCTTCTCCCGCCCCAGTGCTAGGTGCCTAATTGCCCTTTATTTCTCCATTGCTGGGCTTTGTTGTACCGTTGTTTATATTTTCTTACACTTTTAGGACTGTCTTTTATCATCTTCTAAACTGTTTTTGATGTTTGCACTAATATCACAGTGTTTTAATTGTGTAACCTGTAGTGATTTTAAGTTCCTTGTTGAATTCCAGTGTTGATTTGAGGCATGTCAGTCTTTTTGCTATATTTCATGAGCTTTATTTTTATTGTAAGTGAAAAAAAAATGAGAAAACTAGAAAATCCAAAGCTGAAACATCAAAATGAACTGCTATATTGATTGTAGACGATGATTATCAGTTTGGTAGAACTAATTCTGCTGGACTTTATTTTCTAAAAGCCATGTAGTTATGGTATTTGTGTTCTCCCTTCATCTGCTTTTATCATGCTAGAAACATTATAATAATTGCTTTTCCAGCAATGAAACGTATCTTTTAAATGACTATTATTCATGTTATGGTTACTTCTAAATTTTTGCATTTATAAAAGAAGTTTCTATTAATATGACCCCAAACTTATGTTTGGATGTTTGATGTTTTATTTCTCTGAAAATCAAAAGCATTTCTTTTAATGCTGAGTTTATTCCCCTTTTCTTCTTGTATGCCGTGCTCTTTCTTCCTTTTCATTAGCCCTAATCCTAATGCCATGCCAGAAAGTGTTAGCAAAGTATTATTTTCTCACACATGGTGAGCTCTTGTTCTTTATCTTACATGTGCAGTCATGGATATGACGTGGTTTGCTGCAAGGACTCGAACTCATAACCATAAAGACTGTACATCTACTCCTAGCATACAGTATAGGTCTAATAAAAGGTTTCTCTGTTATCATTAGCATACTGTGTCATAATTTTCTTTATGATTTCTGGAAGGTGTGTGTGTGTGTGTGTGTGTGTGTGTGTGTGTGTGTGTGTGTAGAGCTGGGGATAGACACCAGGGCCTTATATGTGCTAGGCAAGCAGCCACTCACTCATGAATTCTTGGCAAGTGTTTTATTGTTAGCCCACTTCTCCTAACTTCTGGAATGTACTTTTTTGTTTTTTTGAGATGTGGTTTCTCTGTGTAACAATCCTGACTGCCCTAGAACTCGCTTTGTAGACCAGGCTGGTCTCAGACTCACTGAGATCTGCCTGCTTATACCTCCCAAGTGCTGGTATTAAAGGTGTGCACCACCACCACCTAGCCTTGGAATGTACTTTTAACTGCCATTTACCTTTATCAAAACTGGAGGATCTGTGATAGAAAAATTAAATAGTTATATGAAATAAAGCCTTTCCTCTACCACTTATTGAATTACAAGTGAAAAACAGTTGTGTGGTAGTCTTTATTTAGACTTAGTTCTCATTCATTTTCTCTTTCTCTCTCTCTGGGACAATTTTACTTTGTAGCTGTGGCTGGTCTGGAACTCACTGTAGACCAGGCTATCCTGGAAAACAAAGATCTGCCTGCTTCTGCCACCTAAGTGCTGGAATTAAAAATGTGGGCACTACAGCCAGCTTCAGACTTAATTCTTAATGTTGTTCAAATGATGTCAGTCTGAAATTCTGGAAGGTTTTGGCAGGTAGTTGAAGTCACAGCTGTCAAAACAGCAGGAAGAGATGACATTGTTTTTCTTTATTTCCCAAAAGCAGAAAACATACAAGAATTGTGTGGCGGTATTCCTGGGAGAGGCATGAGCAAGCTTCTATTCACCTTTGATAGGGAACCAGTGACAGCCAAAGTGAGGATGTTCCCAAAGTCGTGGTGAACCAGTATGTTACTGGAGTTGCATGCAGGAGCATGGGGGAGGGGGATTAGCGATAAGAGCAGAAGTGACTCAGAGATACCCGCATCCCAAGAAGCCCATCCCGGGATGGGTGACCCTCTGGGCATTACCTCTTCCAGGCTGCTCAGTTAAGGACCGTCCTTACTGCTTCTATAACCTTGGAAAAGGAGGGACCTGATGAGTCTACTCAGTTTCAGGGATTTCTTAAAAGTTTTTGGGTTGTGTACTTCCTGATTTGTAAGGAGCATTCCTGCATAGAAGAATATTTCACCTCCCTATAAAACATCCTCCAAGATGGAATGTTTTATCTCAAAAGATGCTGCTTTGCAGCAAGTCATATTCTTCGACAAGAATGGGAGCACACAGAGATGATTAAATACCTGGGTATTAAAATAATTTTATTTTGGACACAAGTTAAAGAAATGTTAATCTAATCTTATTAATAAAAACTAGGAGTCAGAAGCTGGAGTTTCAGTTTCTGAAAGATAACTGAATGTTTCTGAAAAGGTAGTACCTGCCTACCTCTTCTGTTCCTTCATCCAAAAGGGCCAAGATTGTGTCTTAGCCCTGCCTGGCCACTTCCTGTCCTCTCTCTACAGTCCTCCAAACCTCTATGGTCAGCTAGTGACTGGCTCTGCCCTCTAACTCCAAGCGAGCTTTATTTGTCAAAACGCAATGAAAATATCACACAACACCCTATTCTACATCTTGTCCCATAATAAAGGGGATTGGAGGAGGAAGATGTAGTTATATAAAATGTGATTAGATGGTTATGGTGGCTCATACCTGTAGTGCCTAGAGATGCGCAGCAAAGAACTCTGGGGCTGGTAGTTCTGGGGGCCCAGACGGAGCCTCTAGCTGAGAATATCTGGCTGGGCCCGCTGTGACGTCACGGGCCTGGGTCACAGAGCCCTTTTGCATGGCCTGTGGGGCGGGGAGGTGAGGGCCAGTGGAGATGGACCCGGTGGACATCGCGAGACGGTGTGTGTGTACCTGGGGACACCGTGAGATGGTGTGTGTGTGTGTGTGTGTGTGTGTGTGGTATTTCGAGACAGGGTTTCTTTGTAGCCTGTCCTGGAACTAGCTTTTGTAGACCAAGCTGGCCTCGAACTCACAGAAGTCTGCCTGCCTCTGCCTTCCTAGTGCTGGGATAAAAGGTGTGCGCCATTACCACCTGGCTTAGCTTGTAGCACTTTATTTAGAGGTGAGTTCTTGTGAAATTTTCCACATCCACTTGTTACGCTAACGGAGATGAGAAAGACCAGCTTTTAAATCATACAGCATTTGGACCTTAGAAGTTAGAACTGGCAGCTGGTGAGACAGCTCAGTGGGTAAGATCATTTGTTCTTACAGAGCATCCAGACTTGATTCCCCCATGCGCTCAAAACTTAAACTCCAGTCCTAGCGCACCCAGGCAGCCCTCTTTTGGGTTTGGGCGCTGCGTGGATATTATGCACAGGTACGCATGAAGGCAAAACATCCACACACAGAAGGTTGTTAAAACTTCTTGACTATCAATTTTAGGAATATTAAAATGAAGATAGTAGTACCTATCATTTAAGTATGCGAGGCTTGAATGAAGCTAACACGAGCAACATGAAAAATGTCGCTCTGCACATTACAGGTTACACAGTGTGGCTTATATCGGTTGATACAGTCGTTTCTGAGCACCTACAGTATTGCTGGCATTGTTCTCGCCCTGAAATACATCAGGGAGCCAGACAAGCCCTAGCTAGTTGTCTTAGATCTTGCAATCCTGTGTGGGGAGACAAGAAATAAAATGTGTGGGGTAAATGATAAGAATAACAATAAATCAAGATCAGGACTGAGGCTAGAGAAATGGCTCAGCAGTTTATGAGCCCTTGTCTCTTCTCTAGAGGACCTGGGTTGGGTTCCCAACATCCATGTCGGGTGGCTCACAGGATTCCAGCTTCAGAGGATCTTATACCCAATTCTGGCCTCTGTGAGCACCTACACATATGTGCCAGAGAAACAGACACATGAATACATACACGTTACTAAAAGTACTAAAATTTGCAAACTACAACAAAGATCAGGCTATAATTTCTCTTTGTGTAGCCTTGACTGTCATGGACCCACTCTGTAGACCAGGCTGGCCTCAAAATCACAGCAATCTGCCTTCCTCTGCCTCCCGAGTGCTGGGATTAAAGGCATGCGCCAACCACTGTCTGGCTGATTTCCTTTACCTATTATTGACCAGTCTTGTTCCTATCTTTTCCTTGTTTAATAACTATAAGATCTTTGCCATGTTAATTTGGATCACTATCCCATGCTGTCTGGCAAAATTTTCTGTGCTGATGGTAATTATATTCGCTTTCTCTATCTGGCACAGTAACTGATAACAACACTTGGCTTTGGGATACTTGAATTGTTCATAGGGATAAAAGGACTAAATAATTTTAATTTCAGTTAATTTAAATTTGTCATGGGGCTGGAGATGCTGCTCAGAGGTCAAGAGCACTGTTTGCTCTTCCAGAGGACCCAGGTTTGATTCCCAGCACCCACATTGCTACCAATAACTGTAACTCCAATTCTCAAAGACCTCGCACCTGTTTTTGGCCTCTGTGAACACCGCATATAAATATGTGGTACACAGACATTTATACAGGCAAAACACATAAAAACAAACAGCCATAAAATAATAAAAAATTAAGTCGTTACATATAGTGACTAGTATATTGAATAGCATAGTCCTAAATATTTTCCCCCTCAATATGTAGCCTCGACTGGCCTAAGACTCATTGTGTAAACCAAGCTAGCCTCAAGATGACTGAGATCCAACTGCTCCTGTGTTGTAGAATATTATTTTAAGATGTGTTACATTTGTTTATGCTGTGGAACATTTGTTTTAATGAAGCAAAGATATGTTGCTTCTCTTATGAAGCATTTGCCTAACTGTGAAGCTGTGATTCTTTGCCTGTCTAAAAGGCCTTGATGGTCTATTAAAGAGCTGGCTGACAGGCCGGGAGAATAAATAGGAAGAGAAATCTGGGTGGAAAGAAGAAGGAGCAAGAGAAGAAGGAGAGGGGGACTATAGGGCCCAGCCACCCAGCTACACAGCCAGCCATGGAGTAAGAATGAAACAAGGACCTTTTCCCATTCTGCAGGCTGCCTTTTTGTCTTATTGACCATGTCCTTGGCTTTACAGAAGCTTCTCCATTTTGGGAGGTCCCACTTACTTGAAGAGCTTGGTATGAGCTCACTCATAAGTGGATACTGGCTGTAAAGCAAAGGATAACAAGCCAATAGTCCACGGCCCTCAGAGAAGCTAAGTAACAAGGAAAACCGTAAGAGAAACATATATAGGTCCCCTGGGAAGGGGAAATAAACAAGATCCCTGAGAAAATTGGGAGCGTGAGGGTAGGGGGAAAAGGGAGAGTGGAAGGAGAGGAGGAGGAAGAAAGGGGGAGGGGGCAGGAGAACCTGAGAGAATGGGATAGTTGAGATGGGGGAAGAACAGAGATGGAGAGCAAGGAAAGAGATATCTTGATTGAGGGAGCCATTATGGAGCTAGCAAGAAACCTGACACTAGAGAAATTTCCAGGAATCCATAAGGATGACCCCAGCTAAGATCCTAAGCAATAGTGGAAAGGGTGTCTGAACTGGCCTTGCCCTGTAGTCAGACTGATGACTATCTTAAATGTCACCATAGAACCTTCATCCAGTGACCAATGGAAGCAGAGGCAGAAATTCACTGCAGAGCACTGAGCTGAGCTCCCAAAGTCCAGCTGAAGAGTGGAAGGAGTGAGAATATGAGCAAAGAGGTCAAGACCATGAAGGGTTCACCCACTGAAACAGTCTACCTGTGCTAATAGGAGCTCACCAACTCCAGCAGGACAAGGAAGGAACCAGCAGAGGACCAAACTAGGCCCTCTTGAGTGTGGGTGGCAGTTGTATGGCTGGGGCAGACTGCGGGGCCACTGGCAGTGAGACCAGGATTATCCCTACTGCTTGTACTGGCTTTTTGGAGCCCATTCTCTCTGGCGGGCTACCTTGCTCAGCCTAGATATAGTAGAGAGGGCCTTTGACCTTCCACAAA